GCTGAAACCTTAGGAATAAAACCTAATTCCTTAAGAGACCTCTATTTGGTATTGTAAAGGAGATTAAGACTTACTGTGAGATTTGATCTCTGGTCATCCGAAATAATCACACTGTCCACCACATTAAAATTTCTACCAACTGTAGTAATTTTGCGACCACCACTGTAAAAAAAAAAAGGGGGGGGGGAAGGGAGATTAATATTATCTGTTTTCCCACAGGTAAGTCCTGCATTAAGGCTTCAGCTTGAATAAACTACCCAGGTGCATTTTGCTTTGGTAGCAGCCAATATAATAAAGTCAAACTGCAGGACAAGATAATTTGAGCTATAACTGTGTACTTCCTGTATTCCTGTACTCCCATTCTTTCTTCGTAATGTAATGGTAAATGCTTTTGCTGCCGCCAGACCAAATGTCTTGTAGCATACACATGCATACTCGTTTTCAGGGACTCTCCATCTTGTTTTCTATTCATGCAGCCAAAGAACTAGACCGTGACTTAATATTCTGTCTTGAAGACATGGTATTTCACTGCCCCAGAGCAGCCCCGCCTGTGCTTAATTCTTGCCTTCTTCAGGACAAACCGATGGTGCCAAGCACCTCACAGGAAACATTCTCGGCAGTGTTCAGACCATCTGTCTCAACACACACAATGGTGCTTATGTCTGAGGGCTCTGGCTCGCAATCTCTGCTGAACACAGTTGGAGTGGTTTAAGGTATTATTAATTTCCAGCTGCCTGAGCTGCCCATCACCTGGAGATGAGAGCATGTGTCCTAGCTGCTCAGCTGCTGCAGCTGCCAGCCCAACTTATTACCTCAAAGCCACACTTGCCAGTGCTTGATGCCAAGATATCAGATTAAGAACGTGAAAGTGGGCAAAAACTGTGCAGGCAGAGGGACAGGTGGAAAGCTGTGCCTGAGAATATCTTAAAACCACCCTGTAAGTCTTTCACCGGAGCTGTGAGTATCCCGCAGAACGCAGCAGAGGCTTGAAAAGAGCTCTTTTGGCTTTAGGGAGCCCGGTCCCAAAGCAAGTCTGTGCGTATCACTGCAGAGGTGATTATTTTCACTTCATTTCCAATTTGCTGATACTTTATACCATTTCAGAGGTGAAGGGTATATTAGTATCAAGAAATCAAAGTTAACTGGAGTTTGAATTTATGCGTGCTACCCATATTTTGGATTTCGCTTTAGCACGAAGAGACTGTTTTTGACTTCTACAAAGGAGACTTGCGGTGGGCAGGAAGGAGTTTACAGAATCCTGCAGAATACAGAATCTTGCAGCTATCATGACCCTATTTGTATGTTAAATGTTAAATCAGTTCACCCGCGTAAATTCATCCTCCACAACAGGTTACAGCAGTCATCCAAGTTTACATCAGCTGCAGTGTGGCCAAGGAAGGAGGCTCATATCAGCTCAGTGGGACTACATTTTAATAAATACGTAAGAAGTATAAGAAGACAAATTTACCTGATCCAGGAGGTATTTGGTGTGATTCCAAAACATGATGGCAGTGAAACATAATGTAGAGTCATTGGTGGTGAACATTTTTTCCCGTTAGCCTGTATACATATACTTTTGGCCTCTTTACGTGTTGGTGGGAGAGCAAATGTCATTTGTGTATCGTTTAGCACATTTCTAACTTTAATGCTGGAGGAGAAAGAAAACAGTCAGATGCTGAAACACAGATGCCACTATGCCACTCATTGGTGTTACTACACAAAGCCCATAACCTAAAGCAAAGGATGAGGAGAGAAAAGGAATGAATCTCTCTTTGAGCTGCCAGATGGAGGTGGAAAGAGAGAGCAGGGACTTGAAAAGACAAAGTAGGGCATCTTTTGAATGAAGTTGCTATGTGTCACAATAATCACAGAAGACGGTACAGATATTGGTTTTAGGGCCTTGGGATGAGGCTATGTAATGCAATGTGTGATTTTGCTGTGTAAACTGTGTACTTTGCTGTGTACTTCTCTGCGCTACCAACACATTCGCTAGTCAAGAATGAGAATCTTCAGTTTCCTTTTCTTTCTTCTTTTTTTCTCTCTTCCCCCTCCTTTCTCCCTTTCTTTCCTTCCTCCCTTTCTCTAGTTCCTCTTTGTCTCTACTTCCTCTCTCTCCCTCTTTTCCCTTTCTCCATCCTTCTCTCCTTTTGTTTTCTGTCCCCAAGAAATTCATGGTTGAACTGAAAATTGAACCGTACTATATGAATACTTTTTCAAGTGCTAGCTATGTAAAATGGGCTTGGTAATCATAGGCAGCCATTGCAGCTGCACCTGAAAATGACTGATTCAGAATAAGATAGCCTAATTATCTAGGGGGTTACACTCTGCAATCATCAACAGAGAAAAGTACACGCTGTTGCATGAGATGCCCTTCCCTGGCATGGTGTCTGTGCTTTCACAAGCACAATCCTAGAATATATGGGGGATATTTTGAAGCAGAGGAGAGTCAAACAAAATCTGAGGCTTTCCTGTGACGTAACTTCTTGTTGCCTGCTGCAAGGCACAGAAGGCCACAGGTACAGAACAGCCATAACTACTGCTGAGAGCTGCCCACTTACTCACCCATCCCTTGTATTGTACCCAAACACCAAATTCATTTCCAACCTTCAGGAATTTAAAGTGGAAGTATAACTAAAGGAGTGCAGAGCATCCCTGCCTCTGCTGAGGAAAGGCCCATGACAACTGTTCACACAACTGTATTGCTAGGGCAAAATGGGCATAATTTTCACCATGCAAAGTAAACAGTATTATTTTTCAGAGCTTAACTCACATGTCTGGTTTACAGCCAGTGATTCCAGTCAGTATCAGTTTAATGCCTGATGCACGTGTAAAGTTTTCTCCTTTGACTGTTATTTCACTTTTGCCTAATGTAGAAATCCACAAAGGTTCAATGGAATGAATGCTGATATGCTATTAGAAAACAAAGCAAAGCAAAATCTGGTTATAAAAAGGGCAGGCAGTTAAACAACAGCTGCAAAAACAACCACCACTCAGGAATGTGGGTTTTATAGCACTGCGATACATTTTTCTTATTAATTTCAAATCTTGTTAAGCTTGATCCTGGGAAGTAGTCAATCACAACTTATTTATAAGCCAACTATTTTTACCTACATATTTTATATTTCGATTTAGCTCATAACACAGTTGTCCAAAGGAATCACAATCTGACATACTGGAAGGTAAGTATCATAAAAACCCAGCTTGAAATGATATACTTTGTGCGACCACTGAAGAACTAAGAAAAAACGCAAGACAAAACCCATGGTGCTGTCACTATGAGAGATCAGAGAAACAAATGAAGGCATCTCTCAAGACCTGAAAAGGGGAAGCAGGGTCAAATCCTAGAATGAAAAGTCGAGAAAGAGCCGCAGAATTAGCTTTACTAGAAAGTTTTTTCAAAGTCATACATAGAGCTAAAGGTACAACACAACTGCGGGGATTTTTTGGTATCCCATTTTGATGCTAAGAAGTTTACAAATCTATTTTCCAGCGTTTAAGAATAATCCTCGTTTGCTCTGATGCTGTCACAGTCTTGCACAAATGTGGCCAATTTTTAAACTGTGCTTTTCTTTGTGTATCTTTATATTTACTTATTCTAACTTACTAACACTACCAAGCAAGAAGAAAGATTTTTTTCCCTAGTGTATTTACTTGATACATTCGACAGCATCTCATGTTTAATCAGTTTTGCTGCTTCCCCAGTTTTATAATCACACAGACGACAAACTGAAAACATTCAAAAAACCAGGAAAAAACGCATGTGAAACCACAAACTGTTTGGGACCTTCTCAGGCAAATGATTTCTAGCATGCTTTTAGGTTGCCTATAATACCAGTTTAAAGTGAGTTTTTAGAGTATTGTGATTATCCTGATTTCTGCTGTGCACCTGTGGACATAATCCACTGGGCAGTTCAGCCTTCCCGACCCTAAGAAGGGTGCTGGTGCAAAACCTCTAGGAAAGTCCTTGCCACAGGGTTTTTCTCCCTGCTAATCTTTTCATCTACCCAGAGCAGCACCACACCTTCGGGCTGGTGGCCTGAGGGGACCACGGGGGTCACATTGCCATCCACTGCAAACACAGCATTTACCCATTTCAGAAAGGTCCCCGGCACATTGTCCCCACATGCTACCATGGCTCGCTGAACGCCAGAGCACTCCGGAGCAAATGTGAGACCTGTCACAACTGATCGAAAGCTGTGACTTGTGCCTTAGGAAAGGGCAAGAGAGTGCAAAGGCTGGGGCTAGAGGGCCTGCAAAAGGGCCTCCAAGATGACCTCTGGTATGGATAATGGAGGAGGGCAAAGGAAACCCCTGACAAACAGCCTGAGGGGGAAAATTCACTCCCACCCTGACCTGGGGATCAATTTAACCCTTAGTATGCGAGCAGGACAACTGAAGAAATCTGAGAGATTAAAGCCAGCGAAGCACCAGAACTTTTCTCCACCCGCGTCCCATCCCTCTGCTTGTGCCCAGCCTCCAGCGCACTAAGGAGAGTCAATATCTCACACAATCCAGAGGCCAAATACCACAGAAAGGAGTAAAACGCTGCTTTGGGGCTCTCGCTGGTAACCAGCAGGGAGCCCTGAAGCACAGGAATAACACAGTATAACACAAAGACACGGAGATCCGCCAAGATCTGTGAGCCCCGGTGAGGGAAGCGCCAGGCATCCCCTGCCCAGGGGTGCGGCAGGACGCTGCGGCGCTTCATGGCTCCCGCTGGTCTCTCTGCACACCATGGGGTGCCTCAGCTTAGCTTGCCTTGTTTCTTCCCTTACACCAAGAAGAAATCGCAGGAAGAATGGTTCACTCTGGAAGTTTCAGTCCCCCTGAATTCATGCCTTCCCTGTGGCTACACAACATGGACTCCCTCGCCCTTGGACTCATGGCGTCAGCACAGTCACTCGCAGCGCTGAGGCAAGCTGGCCTTGGCTATTCAAGAGCCTGCTTCCCGGCCGGACCGCTGTGGTCTGCGACACTTTCTTCAGCAGCAAATGAAACTGTGAATTTCCTCACTGAATGCGGGAGGGACCAAGCGTCCTCACTGGGGTCTGCGGTGCTTGTTTCCCCAGCGCCAGAGAGCCACTGACCTTCCAGTTGCTGCGTGGCAGGGGGAGAGACGCTTGGCAGCAAGAGGGAAGGGAGACAGCAGAGAGGCAGAAGGATATTTATAAAAATCACTAGTTGTGAGGCACATGATGAAAGCAGTGTAAACACACAGAGAGACATACAGAAAGCGTGCGCCAGGTCCTCAGGTAATGTAAATCAGCACAGCCCTGTCAACTTCAATAGAGCTCCACATTTCTGAGCTGCAGCCCCCCGACCCCGTCCCCTGGACAGCCTAACGCTTCCCTGGGGCTGTGTAAACAGTGCCAGCCACATCCTCAGAGGTGTGGTTAGCACAGCTGCAGGTCGCAGCGAGATATCTGGCAGGAGCCCGGGTTAAGCAGCCTCTGCCACCCCGGGGGAGCTCGTCCAGGCTCTGGCACAGCCCCTCCTGTGGTGCTAGCACGGGGCCCCGAGGCCATGTGAAGAACTGGATTGGGGAACTGGCTCAGATGAAAAATAACCTGCTGAAAGACAACGCTTATTCCCAGCCAAATCAGTTCCCCAGCCAAGCGTACTCGTGCAACCACTCTAACTGCCGCTCTGGCGCAGGGAGGGGGAAGGTGCATGCATGGAAACCAGCAGCTGGAGACAGGAGGAGGGCTGGGGCTGCCACTGAGAAAAAAAGTATATTAATCTAAGTGCTCGGGTGGGGTTGTGGGAAAACACAAATTGTCTTTCTCAGCTCTCCAGTATGTTCTCCTTAAAGCACCAGCAGTCAAAGGAGAGCAGGATTTCAAATGCAATTTCAAGCCCTCTGAATGGATCAATCACTTCTAAATAAACATCTGCCTTTGGACTGCCTCTAGTGCTTTCACTGCCTTGTCCATCACTGTCTTTCCAAAATAAGGCATGTGGAAGAAAGCCATCTCCCAGGCAATTCCAACTATTTACCAATGTCAAATTAATGCACTTGGAAGCAGAGCAAAGAAGAATTTCCTCTGTTCTTTCATCAGCCGTAATGCTTTATATGCAGACCAAATCCAGAATATTAATGCTCAGAAGCACAAGTATTACAATCCCACTCGTCTCTGTGAAAAACAAAATGGATTTTGTGATTTTGTTTAAGAAACCTCAGCTGAACAGCTGAGGGGTACCTGAAAGAGGTAACTCCTGTTTTCACAGGTGAAAGTTTGGGTAGTTCTAACCAAACATTTAGAGATAAGAACACAGTTGCTATTTATACTAACCATGCTATCACGCACAGAAAAGCAGAAACCAAAAAGTGTAGGCAGCGAATCTCTATGTACTTACTCATCAGTCAAATTTCTCTTCACTACTCATTTCTTTCCTAACACCTGCATGTCATAAGCAACCACTGATGACAAGATCGCTCAGTTTTATAAGAAAACAAAACCATTTTGGCACCATAAAGAATGAAGGGATAACCTCGTGGTTAAAGGGCTACGAAGCAAATCGTATAGACTGTATGCTCACATACACTTTATACGATTTCAATAGAGAACTCAACAACCAGATTCAGAAAGTACTTTGGCACCAGCGACACTCCTTCCTTTCCAGTGACCAGCTTGAGTGGGATGGATGGAGAGTAGCTCCATCTCCAGTTCTGCCTGGAAGCAAGGAAAATTTTTCTGGAAGCGTGAACCAGGGATTTACTAACACCCAGGGATTTCAGTTCCTGGATGCATCCTCTAGTCACTGGTCTGTTATGCAGAAACTGGGTGGCACGTCCTCCCCTTCCTTCTGCTCCTCTGGCAGCTATGTTTCAAGAAAAGCTGTGATCTGGCTGCATAAAATGAGGAAGAGGTTTGAGACTCTGAAACCTAGTTTCACAGAGCTGTCTGTGACAGCAGAACTCAAACATGCATTTAAGTCTAGGTAAGAGATTAAGTCTGAAATGTTCTCCTTTGTTTTTTTTTTTGTTATTGGTCAGCTTACACGACCCAGCCCTCAGCACGCTGGCTCCTGTGGATTGCCTAAATACAGCATACAGGGACTTTGGCATTTAAAGCAATATCGTAAGTACTGCATCTAGAGGCAGGCACATGACTATTGCAGTTCACTGTCTCAATGCCTGGATCTGAAACACAAATCTTTGTCGGTACCTTTAAGTACCAACAAAGCACTAAGAAAAAATAGTATCAGTCCAAGTTCTGCATTACCCTTCTATGTAACCAACTGACTGCCTCCTCATCCATATCTCTATTCTTCCTGCAAAGTGCTCTCATTTTAAATAAATTTCTCCCCCAACCCACAGAACCTCAATAATGCTGATCTTAAAATGCTAACTAACCTCTGTTTTCTGTGCAGTGGCGATCCCCTTGGAAGCAGTTGCATTACAACTATCCTGAAAAAAAATCAGCATGTCAGGACAAGGAAGAGACAGATTGCTGCTTAGATGTAAAAAATACAAGGAAAAGGCATCACAGGGGATTCCAGTCCTCCCCAACAAACTTCACCTGGCAGGTGGTGGCAGGAGAGACACGCATCCATTTACAGCTGGCACACTCACCCTTGTGTATACATCGTGAGCAGCTGGTAACACAGAAAACAGAGTTTTTGTAAGACACAGGAACTCAATCTAGATTCAGCCATGAATGTGAAATTTCAAGTGACAGAAAAAAGCACAAGAGAACAACCTGGCAAACATGTAATGAAATGCGTAAAACACATAACCTGCATTTACCCTCCAAGCCTATTGTTCTGTTGTGCTTATTCTGAGGACAAATCTAGTATGAAATACAATCTGTGCTGAGATGCTGAGAGTCATAAATTTCCAAAAAGCATGAAGCAGACGGAACACTTTGGGTTTCATTTTGCTGTGGTTTTCTCCAGTACGTAAGTGGCCAATTAGTACTTTTTAACCAGAAAAGGGCAGAAAACCATCACTGATTCTTTCACAGCTTGCCTGAACTTCTGTTCCGTGTGTACAGTGCTAGCAGGTATTGCTAGTTTGCTATGGCCTTCCCCTAGCAAAAAATATGCCTGTTGGAGACTAGTTTGTCCCTATCTTGCTTTGTGATGCATCTACCAGCATGGAGGAGAGCCAAGAGCAGCACAGGCCCTCTCCACGCATGCTGAGAAATGCTCTGATTTAGAGAGTTCCTTCCCTGTGTTGCTCCAGGCACAGGGAAGTGATGTGCCACTTCCCAAAAAGCAGGAGTTCAACTTCACCCCAGGTGCCTATGAGTTAGCCTCTTTGTATAGGGGAGGAGCGTTTTGAACAGGAACACTGTAGTTACCTACAGCATATGTTAGCCAGATCTTTCTAAGTTTTAACAACCACGTATCATAAAGGGTTAGGCCACGTACTGGGCACAAATGCTTTCTACTGCAAGCTCTCAACAAAGAGTGTGGCTCTGAAAAATAGTATGTACAGAGCAATAGGTATTCATTACTCCTATTAGCAGATTAGATGTTACTTTCTCGTTTAATTGTATTCATGTTACGTATGGACCATATTTAAATTGCATCTGGCTCTATTAAAAAACCAGCTCCATAAAGTGACTTTTACAGAATCTCTCGACTCCTCTGATCTAGGTCTTATCCTAAGTACCAGGGGCCCACCTTTTTCACAAGGACAAAAAGGATTTTAATGTCATTGGGACATCCTTTATTTATCTCTTCAGCCACTTGTCATAAATTCAGTCATTGTAATGACTCTCCTACAGCTAGCTGCCAGGGTCCCATTAAATAAAAGAGTCATCACAAGAAGCAGCTTTCTAAGGACAATAAAAAAAGAGGAGAAGGAGGAAATGGGCCAAGAAAACAGATTTTACTATATTCAGCGAAATGTTATTTCCTTAATAAATACCAAAAAAAAAAAAGATCATACTTCAGCCCCCCTCCCCGCACACACACATAAACACCTCAATGAACTTCAATAGGAACAAGGCTCTTACTTTTTCAACCGAAATGTTTGTGTGATATTCCAAGAGCTTGAGGACAGCGATGCTTCGAGAACTAGACAATCTGGAAAAATGTGACTGTTAGACATATGCCGGACATTACAAGAAATAACTGTAAAAAAATAATTGAGTTGAAAGCTCATGTGCCTTCAGCTGTGCTCTACATGGTATGCACCTTTTCTCATACATTCACTCACACTTTTGATAAAAATAACTAGATTTTGTCCTTCCATAGCACCCTTCAGCTGAGTTATTCCAAGACTTCATACACACTCATTAATTAAGCTTGATGCCACCACCGTATGACATACAAAAGTAACGTTATTGTCAGGATACAGATACAATGCTACCATGGAGCAGTGGTGCAAAACCATCTCCTGAAGAGCACACAGTAGTATACTGTGGCACAGCCAGAAACTGAATTCAAGCCTTCCAACACAACAGACTGTTCTAATGCAAGAGACCCCAACATACCACACTTCTCTCTCTCTCTGTCTCAGAGACTTGGTTTCAGAGTCTTCTTTTGTAATCTATGCAGTAGCAATTTTCATCCTATTTAAATCTTTTATGATTGCACGAGTCAATTTGCCATTATTTCAGCTAGCAATTACTATACCGACAATTCACTGACAGCTGTGGAATGAAAGAGTATCTTCTCCCACGAGCAGAATACCACATTGAAAAATACAGTTAGATACATACCACTTAAGCCATGGTCCCTTTCATCTGTGTGCCTGCAGATGTGTACGTCTGTGAAATGAACGACTGTCTGAGATCAAATGAAACCCATGTGTGCAGACTTTTCTGGCTTCTCTATGCTAGGAAGTAGATAGCTTTTTAATCTGGGAAAGTTACACAGATTTAAAGTATACCTACCTTGCAAAGGTAGAGAAAGCTTTGTCTTTATCACAGGCTGGCTTGTTCAGATGAAAACCAGCTTTGGCTACATCTACATTGTTAGATCAGAAGTACCTCCTAGCTTCACACGTCAGCGTGGCACTTGGGTGCTCACTGCAAAGGTCACCTGCACTGGTTAGAAACAGCCCTTGGGACTGTTCCTATGCTTAAATACCTTACTAAATGGATAGCAAAGAGTCTGATTTTTAAAGGTGTTTTAATGCTTGAAGATGTGGATTAGCACACATAGATGTTCTGAAATCCTTCACCAAGCACCTATTTGCATCTCCAGAAATCTACGTATCTGCAGCAATCTGATATGTTGGGCACAGAATTGCCTAAATCACTTGCCTAGGTCATTATATGAGAAAGGTCTCAAGCCATGAGCTACTGAAAAATAGTATTTTACTAGGAGTAGTAAGTAAAAGTAAGGAATTTATCTGCTTCTGGCAGAGCTTGTCTTCTCTCTTAAGTTTGTATAAATACTTTAAAAACAACACTGTCAAATACAGTTTCCTGATTTTGTCTGTGTTGAAATTAATGGAACCTATTATTTTCTGTACGGCCTGGGCTTTCAAAATGCACCAGACTGCACTGAGTAGCAGGTATTTTCAAAATGTTCTTTTCCAGAAATGATACCTGAAGGAGTTTTGCAAGAGGATTTTCTTGTGAGACTGAGGTCACTTTACATGAGGTACCATAAATAGTCAATGTAACTTCCACACTTGCATTACCCACTAACATATGTCAGCTCGTAGGAGCATGTGAGTGGCAGCGGGCACAAGCTAAGCTCACAGCCTTCTGGTTAACACTGTCAAAGGGCTCATCTTTGGCACAAAGCACAGGCAAGGCAAGCTGGCTTCCGTAACACTGTATTCTGAAAACCTGCTAACGGAGTAAGAGAAAGCCTTAGTCCTGGAAGAGAGTACAAAACAATGTACTCAATAATTATAAGAAAACATGGCTTTTGGGACTGGGTCAATAAAGGACTTTTTTTTCTTCTCTAATGCATTTGCCCCTCTTAAAAATCCACTAATAGTGTTTACTGAAGACAGCTTAATAGACCAGAATATTTATGGATATCACCCTAGCTGTCACCTGCTAGTGACAAAGTCTTTTCTTCTCAATTCCCAAATCAATATTGGACAGGAACTTGACACAACAGTTGTATGATGCCAGAGGAGCTTTTCCCATACAAAGGCCATAGGATGAGCTCCTGAGATCCCAATATTCTAAGGAACTTCCTTCAGAGGCAAGGGTCCCTGAGAGAGAGAGCTCTTTGCAGCACTGAGCTCTTCAGAACAAAATGTCATTGTAAGTTCTGGTTAACATTTCATTCCTCTTCCTACACAAAGGTATTATAAGAGAAGCAGATTCATGCAGAGTATTACATGTCTTTTGGCTATATTATCTAGGAAAAGATAAAGGCAGGCATTTATCTGAATTTTCTGCTTCCTCTTCAAGTCACTTAAGAGCACATGGTATCCTTGAGCTTGCTATCTTTGTCCCTCAGTTTAGATTAAAACTCTCTTTTGTATTCTAACATAAGCAACTTTAAAAAGGTACAAGGTCAACCTGTATTAAAAAAGCTTTGTGCTTCTATACAGACCCTTGAAGCAATGTAAGGGGAACGTTTTCCTCCTATTAGTCAAATAAGACTCTACTGTGGATTATCATCTGATCTTTGAAACCAAAGCCTAGGGAACAGCTCAAAAGTCTAGACATTGAGTAATTTACCACCTCATTCTAAAACTTGTAGTTGCCCATAAGATGCACAAAACAGATCACATGCATCATGCGTCCAATACAAATGGCTCAGTCTCTAATTCTGAGAACTACTGGTGAACAAAGTAGTGTAAGAATTATTGCAAAATGATTCAACCAATAATTCAGAAAGATGAATGAAAGCAAGTCAAAAAGATATACCAGCCTGAAACATGTATTTTTCTGCTAATCTGCTATGTGGGACAATCACTTTCTCACAAGTGTCTAAGTTAGGTTGAAACAATTAATTGAATGTTAAGATTATTTATTGTACAGACATCCATAGTCAGATTCTCCTCTCATTTATGCTAGTACAGTTTCTTGCAAAAACAAATTCTCTTTGCAGATGAGAGAAGGGTTAAGGTGGGTTAATTTGTCAAGGCAGAGCACTGGGCCAACACTGCTTCCATAGCTCCAACCAGCTTGATTGTCACTGCAGCTATCTTAAGTTTCCTTAGACAGCGATTAATGGCACCATGTAAATATACTCCTAATGCTAAAACACTGCACTGCTATAGGCTGAACTGAAGAAGCTGCTTCTAGCCATAGGTCAACATGTTTTATTACTTCTAGAAAGGATTCCATATTAACAAATCTTTAATTATCAATAATAGTGTGAGTATACTCAAATCACAAAACATGAATTTTTTTTTTCAACAACATTTAATAAAAAACATTACCTACTCTCGCACTCCTTAGGCCTGTATTTATACTCAGTTCTTCTCAGTAATAAAGGACAGTGAATAAGCATTAAATACATGTAATAGTAAAACATACCATTATCAGTTATCACCAGAGTGGTTAGATTGCAGAAACAGGATGAGTTTTTCAGCACTACATTTTCATAAAATATTTCAACCGGTTTTACAATTTTTATCATACAGGAAGTAAGGATTTTTCTTACACTTGCAGCCACAGCAACCTATAAAACAATAAAAACAAGAACACAACAGATTTCTTGTAATACTTGTTAAGTCATCACCTTGTCTTTACAGAAAACTACAAACTATGAAATGTAAAAAATGAAAATTTTTGTGACAGAAGCAGACAATTCACTAGGTAGCCTCTCAAAGGAGAGAGCCTCTCCCAACTGAAGCAGCAATACAGAAAGAGTCCTGAAAGCAATAGCATTGCTTACTTCCAGAAGTTAAATGGATCTGTAAGGTATGTCAGGGGAGCAATCTGGAATAATTTTGCATTTTAAAACAAGAATTTTGCTGTAACAGTGTATATGCTGTTATAGTCCTTTAAAAATATTTGAGCAAGAATGTACAAATCCTCACAGAGAGACAACGTTTGCATCTGTAATCAAAGTGCACTTAATTATGAAACAGAATTTGTCTTGTAATGAATTATCCTTTGTTTCTGGCTGAGAGCACTTTACAAATATGATCACATTAGTGCATTCAATCAGGAACCCAGAAACAATAGCATGCAGATTAAGTGGCCAGTCACAATACTTGATAATCAAATACTCAAGGCTGTGTGTGCTGTGAACAGATACTGAGTAAACACTAATATCATACACTTAAAGACGCATTTGTGTTAGCATATGTGTCCCAGTGAATGTTTTGTAACTTGTTACAAAGCTCAGAACTTACATAATGCACTTGATATATAGTCACTGGAAATATTAAAATAGCTGATAAACTGATATAACGGAAATGTTGCCTTTGTCAGCATAGTGAATTTTTGACTCAACATCATGAAGTACAGCTTCAGGATACATTTTATAGGAGAGGAAAAGAACATCTATCTTATTGACACATTCAACTTACTGGGATTTCCAATACATTTGCCAATTGTTGAGATAAGAGGCACTAATATATGGAACATGGTGACAAAAGAAAGGAAGCTGCAATAAGCGACAAAATGACACATTTTAAGTCACAATAAACAAACACGCATAAAACTGGGTGTACATACCTGATTTTTGGCAGGGAAACTTAGCAGGATTTTCAGATCTTTATCAGGTGCATGTGTAATGTTATACCAACCCTTTATGCTGTTTGAACGTGTACAATTTTCTTTTAATGTGCACCTAAAAGTATACATAAAATTACACTAGCCTCCTTATCATGGCTTTGACTTCAGACACTGTACTTCAACTTATTTAATGTAATTGACTTTTTACAGGAACACTATTGATTTTTTACAGGAATATGGTTATAACTGCAAAAAGCTTCAGGAAAACAATCAGTAAAATCTTCTGCTTATCAAAGTAAATTACAATGCATTGATATATGCTCTAGGGTCCTCATTAAGTCAATGGGACTCAAGCAAATATTAGATGCTTGGCCAGTAACAGTGGACTTGGTAGCCTGGGATAAAATTCATCACCTCCAACTTGGTTGCTCCGTTGTACAGTTCTAGATCTGACACCCCAGTTCCCTCTACACTCAATGGGAAGAAATATTCTCTTTCAGGGTGCAATTCACCTAACCTATTTTAGACATTCATACAAAAGTGAAATTAATCACCCTATAGAAGCTGCTCTTTCTCTCCAAAGAGTATAAGAGGAGATGGGGGTGAGGCTCAGATGTAGAGCTATGCTACAAATGTGTATAGTTGATGAGATACATCCTCCTTCCTAATCTTCTCTGTCATCCACTGATGTGAATGGTAATCTTTCCCTTTTATGTCAGTGCACTTGGTTAAAAACAATGGGTTTGAAAAGGTAGTTCTTGAAAAGGTAGATTGCTCTGTCTTCAAGAAAAAAATCAATTTCAGAAGTAGGATGGCACAAAGTAAATAAAAATGTTATACATGCCAAACTGTAGAAACAGAAACTACACAACAGAAAATTAAGGAAGAATGAGGAAAACCTGTACTACAAGTACTACAAAGATTACACGTATTAAAAACGTGATAAGAAAAAGAGAACACAGGCATACAAATTAGATGGACAATCACTGAGTTTGAAAGGTGAATCCTTAAAATACTGTCTGCTGTGAACAGTTAATGAACAACCCATAGACTAACTCCAAGTAATTTCATATAGCTAGCAATTAAAGACAAGTGCTAACTGCATATATCTTAATATTTTAATATTAAGATTGAATATTTATAAATAAATGTAACATGTGATAACGGTTTAGTAATACTACTTTTCTACCAAACATAGAAGCATGTATAGCTTCAATCATGTGATCAGTGACATGTGCCTTAATGAACTATTCCTTCGCTAAAAACTAGAAATGAATACATATTTGCAAAGCATGGGCCTTTTTCATGACAAGCTCACTGTATAAACGTATTTTACAAACAATGTGCTTTCTCTCCAGAAGGAATAACACAAGAATGACTTTCAGGAAAAATATCCACCACTTTCCAAAATGCCCGAAATAACCCCATAAACCATAGAAACTATAAAGCCATCTTCGCTGTAGATGAAGACGTTGGCAACTGGAATGCAGTTAAGCACTAGGTCACTTCCTTTGTGGTCTAACTCAGGAAACTGAGTTCCTGCTGCACAAGAACCTAGTGGGGCTTTGCATCTGAATACATTCAGATCATAACTATACTGCAAGGAATTGGGACTATGCCTGACATATTTCAAACTGTCTGAACTAGGACAAATTTCAGTCTCATTTATATCTCTCTTCACCTTACTGAGATCACAAAGGTCCATTAGCACCACAGTTTTAGAACCACAGAGGATGGGATCTGTCATCAACAGAAGTGCATAAACCTGATGCTCAGATATGTACAGGCAGATAACTTTCACTGGCAATGATGCATGGGAGAGAGACATCCTATATTTTCTGACAGGCTGAGGATGTTGAAGACGCAAGGCAACACACTTGCAATACTTGGCAGTAAATAAGTGTATGCATTTCAGTGACACTAATATTAAAATATTAAAAAAGAAAACTGTTTATAAAGCTGAATATTTAAAACTGTCCTAGGACAAAGTTATTTGCCTTCTTAGACTGCTTGAGGAACATAAGCAGTGAACTTGTTTCCCTCATCTACAATGAAGAATCTAAGAGTTTAATGGCAAAAAAAATAATGTCACTTAGGACCCAGGGTCATGCTTGTCTTCATGCCAGGAAAAATGTCTTTTGTTGCTCTAAAAGCTGACCTTTAACATTCAAACAATGTGCTATGGAAAACGGTCACTTTGTAGGAAGCAGTCGCAAAGGGGGAGGTGAGCATCTGATGCCCCTCAGCATAAATTCTCACAACTGCCCTGCACCGGCCAAGAGTAACATGCATTCCACTCACTTAAAGACGAGACTATTTTGTTAAATCCCTATTTTTAGACAATTGATACTGTTTGCAAGCACATTGGAATGAATATAACAGATAAACATTATTTGTGAACCACATGGTTCTGAAAATTAACACACAGACTCAGACAACCACTAAGTCTGGCTTTCTTGGAAAAGCGGACTGGACCGGATCCTATACACAAGTATGAAGGTGTAAGGTTTGAAACCCTAGGATCAGATTTCAGACATGCATAGATACGTGTACAAAGAAAAGCAAAGTCAAGATTTTTTTTCATCTTTCACAGCAAGATAGTTCTTTATACTACTAAAGATTCCTCTTCACAACTGGAATAGAGTTCCTCTTATGTCATTATGATAACACGATACCTATGCATACCGGTTCATTCATATTTACTTAAGTCTCTGCTTCACCAACCTTGTATTAACTACAGATCCTACTGAGTTTGCCCTCTCTGCCTTGCTAAAGCATACTGATTTCCTCATGGAATGACAGCATGGTTTCAGAGAAAGTTTTGGCTTCCTTTTCCAAGGTACCAGCCCCTGAATGAAGTCCACATGTCATACACACTGACCAAATTCAAAAGTAAGTCTGGTCATGCCAGATAACTAAGACATATTGTGTTACTTCCATATGGAAAATACATGTAAAACATCAGGGCCTTGTATTGGAATAATTTCAGCATACTTCAGGTAAACCTGATTCATCTATAGAAAATCTATAAACATGAAGAGAAATCACAGAATGCTATGACTAATCGTTTTGAATGACTGTAAGTGAAAAGGAGAATTTATACATTTGTCCTTATGGAAGAAAGAGTAAAAATAGGAACGGCAGAAACATTTTGTTTCATTTTGTTTTCACTTGCAATAAGATGTGCAGATTTTTTCATCAAAATACTGGATTTGAGTTCACGCTATCGTTAAAACGAAGCACTGCTGGTAAGTTTTATTTAAAAAATGGAGTGCATATTTAATATAAAATTTATTTCCCAGGAAGAGTATAAAACATATAATCGATCTCAAAATTATTATGGAATATATTGCTTTAGTGGACATGTATGGACTTTGATTAAAATACTGGCTAAAAACATGACTTCCTCTTTTTCTAAAGCTTCACTCAGAGCTCTCTCTTCACAAAACCAAAAATTTAATGATACTAAGTGCTTAAGAGTAAAAAATTATGTGGGTGTTGAACGGGATTCGTATTATAGTAATTCTTTTTTCTCCAAAAGAGTAAATTGTTTCTGTTTCAACCAGATGGAAACTTTTGGTGATTCCCCTCATAAACGGGGGATTTACTGACTAATAACTGTTATTCGCAAACTCTTTATAAGGTAACTAAAAGCCTGAAAAGCTTAGCACTGTCACAAATACAGTTTCTAACAAGGTAGCAAAAGAGAGTTTGAAGAAAACACATTACAGAATAAACACCGACCTACTCTCTTCTAATAACTACCTTTGCAAACACAAAGTAGCAGGTCTTCAGCAAAATCACCTTAACATTGAAACAAACCAAAATGGGTAGTATCAACCTTCTAAAAGAATGCTACTAGTGGAATTCCTCAAAAACCAATCTTCTAACTACTTTTGTTTAATGTTTTAATCATTGATGAACTGGCATAAAAGAAGGTTTACACCATCGACATCTGCTGATGATGAGATGCAGAGGAAGATGAGAATATCACACAGGAAAACTTGGATAACCTTGAAATGAGTTGACATTTAAAAGCATAAAGTACAAGAACATGTACCTAGAACAATAAAAATCTCACAACCCATATGTGTTATAGACTGGAAAATCATCAGTTGGAAAGAAAACAAAGAAAGAGAAGGACCTGTGGGCATTATTTGATCATGGATGATTGTGGCCTACCAATGTGATGATGTCATGAAAAAGACGTTTGTGATCCCAGAACACGCCAAGTAAGGTAGCTTCCTGGACAGACTGATTAAACACCATTGAGCAAGGCACAGCTGAAGTCTCTTCCGGAATATTGCGACAGTCCTAGCCATCCTTACTTTAAAAGGATGCATAAACTTCACAGAAGGGCTACTGGAGTGGAGTGAAGAAAGCAGTGTCTTATGTGAGAGAATCTTAGTGAAGTTAGCTGTCTTAGCACACCAAAATGGAAGTGAAAAAAGAGACTGCTTTCACAAAAACATTGAGGAGATAATTGTGAGGGAGGGGGGAAAACCTATTTAAGCCAAGGTGATGTGAGCACAAAGAACAAATGAGTATAACCTGTCCATGAACACACACGTGATGAAAATGAGCAGACAGATTTTAACCAGCAGAAAAATGAGACTCTCAGATAGCCACACAACCAGGGCAGGGAGGACAAAAAGCCTATAATAAATTTTGGATGGTCCTTGATTAGTTTATGAGTAGGTTTACATGATGTGGTTGCTTGCAATTGCCAAGACCTTCCTTGATGACCCAGGAATTTCTCCAGTTCAGGTCAAAGTTGTACAATAGCTTTCAAACCTGCTTCAAAGAAAGCAGCAAAACTAATAACTCAAATGTGAGGATGAAGTGTTTAAAAAGAACTTCTCCTCTGGCCTAAACCAAAAGCAGTGGTTTCAAAGCAAGAAACTATGAATATTGAAGACAATTGAGCACTTTTTCCCCATTCTCACACGCAAGATGCTCCCAGCTATTAAGATGCTTCAAGCATGAGTATACAATTTTATCTCTCAATCAGTCTGCAAAGCAAAAACATCTGTTCTAAAATCAAAATAATTTCTTCTTCTTAGCTCAACATATATTTTATGGGTAGACCTCAAAAATCAGAGGGTTAACATGGTCTTTAAAAGGTGCAGAGCTCCCTTCCACATGACAATAAAGTGTCTCACATTTATGACTATGATTGATTCCATAAAAATTCAGTAGATACAATCTTTATGCTGAATAGCCCCAAGCCAGTCAAAATGTACACTGACTAATAATGCATTGCTTTTATATGAAAGTCTAAAATACCAAAAAATACCTTAGATTCAAAGAACACCATCCACAGTAAGGATCCTTTGCAGATAAACATTCTTGCTCGGAAACGTATCTACCGCAATTTGCAACTGGTATTCTTCTCACCTAAACCCAAAGAAAACAGTAACACACTGAATTAAAATAGCCTCCATAAACAGCGAAATTGAGGGTTACCATTAAAAATCTGACAGCAGCCAAGCATGATCCCTTCAGGAAAATTTCCTTATGGAGTCCCCTCTGCCAGAAGACCTTTGCATAGAAATATGCAGCCTATTTTACACAAGCTGTATTTTGCCATCAGATGATGAAACACCTCTGACAATGACAATTTGGTTCTACTACTCAAAGGCCAGCATGGACAGATTAACACAAGAAAGACTGATCAGTATAGTGAATTATAGATAACAATAGAAAGAAGGAACATTTTACAAATAATGCTCTGCTTAGCAGAACACCGTTTTCCTCTCATCAGAACTGAGATTTTTAAATGATTGATGAAGGTGCATCCAAAAATGCATGCGCAAAACAAAATGCATCTGTGTTTGCATCACCATGTCAGGTTACTGTATGTGCACACTAGAACAAACGCATGCAACTACTTCACATGCATGAAAATGCCATTTCAATAAGTAAATGTAGATAATTGTGACTATATTGTATGTAGCTATACTTGTACATTCAGCTCAAATGTCCTAGCCAGCCATTTTCAGAAAAGGAAAGGAAAAAGAAAAAGAGAAAGCTGATTACAAATACTGAATACAAATACAAATAATGTTATTAATAACGATGTTAATTAATAATCTTAGTAAGAAAAATATTCCTAATTCAAACCATTTTTTTACAAATTTGCAAGAATTAAAAGTTCCTATATTTTGTGAACAGCAACAAGGATACGTGGCTTTCTGCAAAACTATATTTACTGTTTTTTCCAGCCATATCTTGTAAAATTCAATTTACCATTTACCTGAATGTGTGTGAGATAATCAGTTCAGAAACCAGCCAACATCAGAGACTATTAGCAAGTTAAAAAAAACAGTGTAGAACCTTATTTAAGCTCCAAGAGATGATCAGAGAGGGGTGTTTATTCCTAAAAGCTGTTGTTCCTCTGTAACAACTTGCTCTTTTACCAAAGCTAAAGAAAATTCAAGTCTTTACTTTGAATATCTACACATACTTTTGACTGAATTTTTGATTCCTTCTGCATTTGTGATAGGTGGTTTATATCAGTCAGGAATTCTCCCACCAACTTACCCACTCTCTCAGATGGCAGGCTAAAATGCTATGTTCACTGCTGGAAAAGTGATTTTATTGTAAATGAAGGTAATCGAGTGCTGGGTGAAATCCTGTCCAGCTAAGATGGGCAGCCAGCCCTTATGTTTTCACTGCCATCTTCCCTGCTGCTGGGAAGACAAAGGAATTTGCCAAGTTGATGCTCAGTAGCCCTGCTGCAGGATGTGCTGCAACAACTGTACCAGCTCCTGGGAGCCACTCTCTGCTTAACATGCAGCTCTGACACGTTTGCTCACATGCAGTAGCTCCCAGTGACTGCTGAACTACTTGGCCTCACTATGCATACACATTAATCACTTCCGATTGTGTTTTTGTTTTGGTTTGTTTTTTTTAAAGTCTATGCCTAACTGATGATGATGAGAATTTTATCATTGATTTCAGCGGAACTAAGACTTCAAATCCATCTCTCAAATTAAGAGATTCCTCCACATCAGAAACTCCATAATTGACTAGCAAACCCTGGCCTACCAATACCTGGATTGCTAATTCAGAGGAACTCTGTCTCCAAAGAGTCTACAAGTTTTGTTTGCTACCTCCAAGCTTGAGTCTATATGATGCCTCCAGGAAAAAGAGAAACAAAGATTCTCTCGACAGAACGACATAAAATAAGCATGGGATTAAGGGTGTTGCTGGATCATAGCAACAGTAGGCAAGCACCATGACAGTGGAAGCTCTTCTGAGCTCTGCAGAAGTGCAGCCCAAATTCAGACAACATAACCAGATATTAGATGTAAAGTTGGTAACAGCAGTTTGGATATTTAAGGTCTGACTCTGGCCCAAACTGATGCTTCACTTATAAAGTGGCAGAAATCCTTAAAGCAGTAGTTTACTTGAATTTATTATCTTATTTAATATCGTGCTTACCTTATTGGCAGAGGACAGATAGATGTAGTTATTATCTACTGGATCAAGTCGAAGTTTGGGGAAAATGGAGGTTTCTTCCTTAATTTCATATAAAATCTCTGGGCAATTAGACTCCATATCCTCATTAAGAATAGCCTAAAATACATGAAATTAAATTATTCATGAGCCTTTTTATTGATCAGTCAGCATTTTAAACAAAAGCCTAATTTCAGCTACATCAGAGTTTCTGAGATTATTTACTGTGCCCTGATTCAATTCACCTACTGCACCTTCTCTCACACTGCAGAAAGATGGAGGAAAAGACCACCCGAACAGAATGTCAACAAAATCCATGCCAGACACATTTTGCACTGAATCTGGCACTGGTTTAGTGTATGAAACATCCCTCCCACCAAGTATGTTCCTGATTGACGCAGAAACGGAATGTGGAAGAGACGCCTATATCCCAAAGTCATAATGTGTTAAGTATTCCTATGAACGGACAAGAAAGTATCAGCCTTCAGAAAACAAATTAACATCCAGATACCCATAATGTAAAAAGGAACCTATACAAGTCACTGACAACTGTCTTCAGGACAGAATTTTCTTTGTGGCTTTTGTGAGTACACATCTGAGGTGGTTTCCTTTTTCTTACCTTGCCCAACTCTACAGTTTTCCACCACCCTTCGCACAGAGTTCAAGAGAACCAGAGACCACAGAAACGTTATTTTGCAAATTAATAAGCACACCAACATTGATATAAGGTTTTCCATAAACATGACTAAACAAGGGAGATATGTTCAAGGTCTCCACTGTGCTAAAGAGACACGGAAGACTTCAATTTCATTTTTCATTATCAAAAGCACAGTGAAACAAATGGGCAAAAGTTTTCCAAGCTCTCTACTATCTTCCTCTCCAACTGCCTGCTTAATAAGAACAAAAAATGAGAGTCATCCTTTGCAGCGTAGACAGGAAATGCATGTTCTTGCAAAACCCAGAAAAAACTTAAAGCTTAAAAGATATTTAACTGGATGGTTGAAAAGTTTGATAATGAAATGACTTTCACTTCCAGGTTGATCGATTTAAGCTAGCGTAGGTCAACTATTCAGAAGCTAAGGCAAAATGAATCTTGATTTTTCTCTCTAACAGACAGCTATTCACATCACATAGATAGGCTAACAAACAAATAAATATGCTTTCAAAATCTAACAATATTTAATATTCCTACTGGAAAATCAAAGCAAGCAAGGAAACAAAAGACAGAGTAACTGAGAACCCCACAGTCCATACATTGATACTGTGGGCATTAGCAGTTCAATGAAATGTTTCCTTGAATTTTAAGCAGGGTACATAATTGCTTTTGAAAGTTATCTTCCTCTCCAAGTAACAATACAGCAGTTACTGCACAAACAAACAAAAATTAAACAGAGATTCAGAGGATTATATCTGTTTATAATACAGTGCCTAAACCAGGAAACATTTACCCACTTGAACACAGCAGCAGCTGATGGAGAAGGGAAGAACTGCCACGCTCAGCTTACCTTCAGTAACTGTCCATCATCTGTTCCCAAAAAGAGAACTATCTGATTCAAAACAACTGTGCCATAAACAGCCACTAATCCAGAGTGAATCAAGGTAGGTAATTTCTTGATTGATCGTGCCTCCTGAAAATCAGATATAAGAGAAAGCTATTACAAAATCATTCACCTATACTGCAAAATGTTAAGAAAAAGAAAAAGAAGAATCCCTGGAAAGATTCTCAGAGAACTCAACTTTAGACAATACTTTGAGTAACATTTTAATTCTGAGCAACATATCATTGGAAACGGCACATGAAACATGAAACTACTTCTTTTTTATACATGGCAACTGTGATAGAGATTACATCTACTGCAGCTAAATCACTGACCTCACTGGGACACAGACTTGGCTAAACAGCATCAAGTTTTACCTTGCAACAGAATTTCTCTTTTTTGGGATGTAATGTCCTGGGTTTATTCCGAATTGTCAGTTCTTCTCAATGAAGCCATGCTTTGCCATCACCTGACTGCATCTACCATGAAGGCTACAGACACGCTCAGCAACCACTTTTAAAGGCATGCAAATATTCTGGAGAAAGAAGGCACTTCAAACACACAAACTCTTCTTTTTTTTTGTGTGCATGTGTATGTCAGAAAATGCGGAGCTTCATCCTCCCCCCTCTGGCTTCCTGCTTTACACTAAAGGAAGTTGAGACTTGCGTATTACATAAATATAAAAATGAGATAAAGCGGCATAAAGTTCATGTCAGGAAGAACATAAATGTACCTGTGTGAACTTTAAAATCAACATGTTACCCACAAAGTTAAGTGACAAACACGTGTAAGCAGCTCATGAAAGAAAACATCATGCAGGAAATCCCTGTATCTTGCGGAAGGAAAAATCAAAGCAAATAACGCCGACTGTAGACGATCAAGTGCTGAAAGGATACCCCGATGTGTGAGAATAAGATCATTCACCAGGTGAGAGATGGTCTCTGCCCCAAACTCCCTACAAGCCCAGACACCTCCCTAGCAAGCAAGTACCTCAGTTTTGCAGTCCTGTAATTGCTTTAAGTCAATCTCCATGGCAGATGCTGCCAAAGGTGTGATCCCACCTGCTCTTCAAATGGGTCCAAACCCATCCAAGCTCTACCTCCCCTTCCCCTCTATTAGTATAATGCTTTCCAGTGAGCTTGGTTAAGGAAATGAGGTGTGCCTAGAAAATGGTCTGTAAATCTATCTACCTACCTACCTACCTAAATTTTCATTTGAGTCATTCTCTTCATCACATGAACATGTGGCTGCACAGACGCCAGTGCTGACACAAAGGAGCAGCAGGCATGAAGAGGTGGGGGGAAGAGCTGAGGTAGGTCCAGGTCCTTCGGAACAAGCCCAGTAGGTCAGCTTACAAAACCCAGAATCGCAGCCTCAAGGACGGATTCCTAAACCTACAGGAACTCTCTGAGTGCAAGAACCTATTTCGCTTTAATGCCAAGACAAAGTGTGAGAATGGACCATTAAAACTGACATTTTGCAGACAGGTGAAGGCATTTCTCAAAGTTACGAAGCGAATCCGTAACACAGTAACAGCTGAATTCAGCTCTCTTGCATGCTAGGATGCTGGCTTAACCCAAAAAGTCTTTCCACATAGAAATAAATTTTTTCTAAACTGCAATCCTAAGTCAATTAAAATATTTTTCAGTCATCTGAATTATTTTAATTAGCTTGCAAGAACAGCCACTTGGAGTAAAAGAAGACTTGATTAACTTTCGTATTTAAAACCTTTTTTTTCATGCATGTCGTAGTTTAACCCCAGCCGGCAACGAAGCACCACACAGCCGCTCACTCACTCCCCCTTGGTGGGATGGGGGAAAGAATCAGAAGAGTAGAAGTGAGAAAACTCGTGGGGTGAGATAAAGACAGTTTAATAGGCAAAGCAAAAGCCACACACACAAGTAAAGCAAACGAAGGAATTAATTCACCACTTCCCATCGGCAGGCAGGTGTTCAGCCATCTCCAGGAAAGCAGGGCTCCATCACATGTAACAGTGACTTGGGAAGACAAACGCCATCACTTCGAACGTCCCCCCCTTCCTTCTTCTTCCCCATCTTTATATGCATGACATCATATGGTATGGAATATCCCTTTGGTCAGTTGGGGTCAGCTGTCCCGGCTGTGTCCCCTCCCAACTTCTTGTGCACCTCCAGTCTACTCTCTGGTGGGGTGGTGTGAGGCAGAAAAGGCCTTGACTCTGTGTAAGCACTGCTCAGCAATAACAAAAACATCTCTGTATTATCTACACTGTTTTCAGCACAAATCCAAAACATAGCCCCATACTAGCTACTCTGAAGAAAATTAACTCTATCCCAGCCAAAACCAGCACAGTGCAGCAGGAAGAAGACACAGGAACTGTCATGTACCGGCACAGAACTTCAATAAAACCCACTTAGGCATGAAACTCCACTGCCATGGAGGTCGGTTTTAGATGGGGAGTGGGGGGGAAGTGATTGCAAGCATTTTAAGGTGGAAAAAGTTAACTCACTTCTTTATTAGATCACAAAACTCCAGCATGGGTGCACACAATGAGCCTTCACTCAGGCTAAGGAGTGAGGAGGTGAAGCTTCTAGGCTTTCATTTCCACCAGAATGAGGACTTTTTTTTCTGCAGTGCACCATATAGTAGCGTAAGGAAAACAAAACACCCTAGATTCCTCACAGACTCTGTACAAAAAGATCACAGAAGAGGGGAGGACTCACCCAGTCTCTGAAAAGCTTTGCTGCCAGATTTTATTTTGACCCACATACTAGTAAAATAACTACTGTCATATCAGTGCATCCTCCTCATCTGGCTGAAGAACCAATACTGACAAGTGTGGAAGCCTCCTCCCCTCACTCTGCTTGCCAGAGGGAGGGTCAATGTGACATTGAGCTAATACAGATAAGAAGCGGGGGAATTTAGACGGTGGGCAGTCACAACAAAAATTGCCTTCTCTCTTTTGCAACCTATTTCTCCAGCTTGCCCGTTCCCTCCAGGGTGCAGCTGCTGCTTTCACCCTTCTGTCATCCCTTTTCCATGTGCATTTATTTTTTTAACAAGCTCTTTTACCTCTTCCACTGTGACTAATGGGGTTACAGCACTGTAGGGCTTTCCCAAGCTTTTTCTTTCACAGCTAAATCCATCCTTAAAATGCATTTACAGTCTAAACTTCCTTTATACTTGAAAAGTCACTCATCTCCATGATCATCTATCCATCTATCCTGCAACATTTTCAGGCTCATACAAAAACAACAAAAGCAAAAGAAAAGACAATACTGCTCTAGAAGACCTTTCTTTTTTTAATTTTTCAGTTCCACCCTCTGTTCTATTCTATAGTCCCCCAAAATCTTCACGTGCACAGGTAAGCCTAGAGATCTCCTGAATTAACTCACATTTAGCTTTTAAGTTCACCCCCCTATGCTGTTTGGTTATTGGCATGAAAGGTATTTATACTAATTTTCTATTTTGCATGTCATTTTCAGATTTATCTCTGTACGATTCCAGCTGTACAACCATATTCACACTTCTACTTTCTGTCTTGATTTCCTCCTGATTATTTTACATTGTGTGCCTCAGAGGGAAGGGCAGCATTTTTAGCTCACGCAGCACTCAACATATTGCAGCTGGCCAAAAAGTGAAAATAAAGGGTTTGAGCATCAGAGTGAATGAACAGATGCAGCTATACAAAAGGACATAAGACTTGTGAGCAGCGCATGGCAATAGTCAACACTGGAACAATACATAGATGTTTTTCCTAGAGCGAAAAAACTTCTGGAACCTCATTCTTCTTTCTTAACTTCACCACCCTTCAACCTCCTGCACCAATTTTTATTATATCAGAGGATAACATACTTAAATATTGGTGCATGCAGCGAGCCTTTATTAGGGCTAAGGAATGAGGAGATGAACTATTCAAAAATTTTATTTCCATGAGGTTTTTTAATTTGTGCACTGCATAGCAATGCTAGGTGGACAAATCATCCCAGGTGAGCAGGCTGCAAAAAATCAGGATGACCAGGAAATGAGAGGGTCTTCACAGAGACCTTGCAGAGGCAAGGTCCTGAGCCCCATGACGCAAGGCAGGAGGGACAGTCAGAGGCTATGCTTGAGCAAGAGTTTGATGGAGACTCCTGAGATGGGGGAGGCTAGAAATTTGTGACTTCTTGCAGCAGCAGCAATGCTCCTCCTCTGTCCTTAGATTTGAGTTTACAGAATTGATAAAGTGTCCTAATAACCAATGAGGGAGAACAAGCTCCATTAAGGAAGGCTTTGAAACCAACTGAGCTTGAACAGAGCATTAGCAGAAAGCAAGAGGAAGTGGTGGGTGACCGTGGTTGGAGATTCCCTCCTGTCAAGGATGAAAGCACACAACTGCTAAACCGTCATGCTGTTACAACAGGTTTCTTTTTTTTTAGGGGCCCTGATCCATTACATTGCAGAGAGATTGCCAATGATTTTCCATTCCTTGGACCACCACCCATTGTTGCACATCCACGTGGACACCAAAGACATTGCCTAGTGCAGATCAGGACTACAGAGCTCTGGGGGCAAAGTGAAGGAGATGGGACCCCAGGCTTTGTTAACCTTATGGGGTCAGTGAAGGGTGATGCTCTCCTGGATTTGCTACTCACAAACAAGGAAGAACTGACTGAAGATGTGATAATCATTGGCAGCCTTCACCGTAGTAACTATGAAATAACTGAGTTCAGGATCCTGAGGGCGGTGAGGAAAGTACAGCAGAGTACCAGGCTTCACCTTGTTTAGTGGGATCCCCTGAGAGGCAGCTTTGAAGGGAAATGGAGCTCAGGAAAGCTAGTAGGTCTTTCAGGACAACCTCCTCCAAGCATAAAACTCAGGAAAACAAGCAGACGTATCAGGAGATCGCCCCTAGCTAAGCACGGAAGTCATGATTTAACGAAAATGCAGAAAAACAGTACAGAAGAGGTGGAAGCAGGAACAAGCAACTGAGGAGGAACTGCCTGGACATGTAGGGATGGTGTTAGGAAAGCCCAAGCTCACCTGGTGTTTCAACTGGCAAGGGATGTTATGGGCAACAAGAAGAGCTTCTACCACCACATGAGCAATAAAAGAATAAACAATGAAAATGT